CACGACAAAGACTTTATTAAAGACTTTATTAAACCTTGTTTAATAAATAAATACAAAACTAAAAGTGACAACAATGACTCATCTGTTCATTTAATCATATTTCATAATATTTAGGCAGCACATCTTTGCAGTAAAGCCCATGTGTTTTTTTCGCTATTTCAAGAGTTTTATCGCTATATTTTTAAGTCTGTCTATGATGTGTGTGAGGACTGGCCCTGTATTTATGCATATCCACGTAGATACGTGCACGCGCTGATCTGAATGGTCAAATTATGAGCGCGTGCGAGAGATTCAGATGCCCTCCCCTGGAGAGGGAAAGGAGCGAGGGAGGGACACGAGGATACGAGGACACAGATTTAACATGAAACACATCAGATACAGATGTTATTCTGCCAATTAAAGTCCACACGAAATATCCAAACTGCTGAACCTGTGAGTGTGGGTCTGGGTCTGTGAGTGTGGGTCTGGGTCAGGACGGGCTCGGGCATTATTCTGTTCTTCATACAGTCAGAGAGCAGCTCTCATGTGCAAGAGTTCCCCATTACACAAAAATGTAGGGAAGATTTTGGTTGGGGTCAGGTTCGGGCAGTAGGCTTCGTGTTGTCCACAGACTTGAGTCACTCTGGCGCTCGGTGCGTAAAGACTAAAGTAAAAGTGTTAAAGTTGCGTTCATTAAATCAAAGCCTGGCTCCAAGGGAAGAGTTTACTCTCAGGTTGGGTCATTATTTCGTCCTCTGTGTTGGTCAGTCTGTGTTCTATAGAAGTCTATGGTCGCGGTGTGGACTGTGGGACTCTGCTCTACACTGTCCGGGAACGTGGCCGCGCTCGTGCACGAGTGTCAAATGTATCATATTGTGGAGAATAATGAGAGGAATAAACAGCCCTTCTCCGTATTTTGGCGAACCAAACACTTAAATGCGCAAATCAGAAGGTAATTCTTCTGTATACGTGGATTTTCTGATCAAACACTTCCTCAAACTCTGTTCACTTCTGCTTCTCTCCACGAGTGTCGCTTTTTCCCCGTGTCTCCAGACTTTGCGTAGAACTTACAGGAGGTCCCGAGTTGGCGTAGAGTTAAGCAAAGAGCCACGCCTTAGGCAAGTTTTATAAATACCGCGGTTGGCGTAGGAAGCGCGCACGCACGGATTTTTGCGTAAGCGAAGCTTTATAAATGAGGCCCCAGGACTGAGTCTAGGACCAGACCGGGACCAGGACCGGGACTGAGACCGGGACAAGACCAGAACTGAGACCAGGAACAGGACCAGGTCCACTAGACCAGGACTGAGACTGTGATTGAGACTGGGAATGAGACCAGGACTGAGACCGGGACCAGACCAGGACTGAAAATGGTTTAGTCCTGGTTCAGTCAGTATGTGGCACAAAGGTCCGTCATCGCAGTTGAAGTCATGAAAATGGGAAACAGCCGTTATCCATTTTCCATTATCGGAAAAAAAAAAAAAATAAATAAAAAATGTTATCCATCTTTTCATTTTGGTTTTGGAGACAAATAATGAAGAAAACAGTTGCTTTTTGTTTTCTTATTTTTGGTTTTATTTTGAAAAACGAATGAACGAATGATACACAGATTTTCCAGTGCTGACATCGTCCAAATGATTCTAGTGAAGGTGTATGGAGTTTAAAAACACAGTGGAGCACTTCCTGTATTACCACATGACATCACAAGGTGGGACAGTGTTTTCTGTTTGAGAGCTCAGCCCAAATATGCAGGGTTTGTGCGTTAAACATGTGAATGAAACAAAACACAACACCAGGTCTGTTTGTGATGAGGAAACAACATTATAACATAGATCAGAAAACTCTCTAAGTACAATACTGAGAATGTGCAGTACAAGTATGGAGTCAGTCAGAATAGTTTACACAAATCTCATGTACCACAGCACACAGAGAGGAAATGAGGGCCAGGTGCACGGCTCTGCTCAAATATATTTAAAGGAGAGGTCTCGTTCAGTGCAATTTCCTCTGTTTGGGCTGGTCACTTTAAAGGGCCCATTAGGCTGTTTTATGATAATGTTATATAATGTTGTTTCCTCGTCAAAAAGGACATAGTCTTGTGTTTTGTTTCTTTCACACATGTTTAAGACACAAACTCTGCAGATTTAAGCTGATTTCTTGATTCAAAGAGAAAAAACTCTGCTCTGCCTTGTGATGTCGTGTGGTAATACAGGAAGTGCTCCTTCATTTGAATAATTTGGATGATTTCAGATAATCTCTGCTGAACTAAACATAAAAGGTAGCGCTTAACTTGGAAAACTACAACTAAATGACATCACAGGGTGGAACAGAGCATTTTGGGTCAGTCCATAAAAAATCAGCCGCCCTCCCCTATAAGCCATCTCACATTTGTCTGAAAAAAATTTCAAAAAATTTCTAAAATTACCAAATGAAAGAATCTCAAATTTTAGCTCAATCGCTTGAGTCGTTCCTGATTTATGGCCCGGTGAAATTCTGGGGCTATGCTCACTTTTTCTGAAGCCTAAATTTATAAGCATGTTTGAGCGACCATAACGTCATAAAAAATAGAGCTAGGAAGCTGAAAATTTGTATTATTGTAGATTGTTGGTTCATAGATTCTGAATCTGTTGTATCTTTAGTAAGGGGTGCGCTGTGGGCCCCCAAAATCTCACATTTGGTTGCCGCTAAATTTTTTTTTTTTCAATTTTTGAGGTCCCAAGATCTATTTACTCCAAGCAGATATTTACAAACTAACTGTTGAACCTGAATATTTGAGAGAATAACCATTTCTAAAAACAATCTCACACTTTTCTGAACTTTCATGTGGATGGTGTAGAGCTCCAAATATGGTCACAGACCAAATGTGGTCTTTTTGGCCCCTTCTTTGGAGCCTCAGTTCCCCATGTGGGCAAAGTTAGATGTTGATCAAATGTTTAACTTTGGCATATTGTGATTAGTTTAGAGTAATACCAACATCTACTATTAACTTCCTTCATTTCAAATGGAATTTTTGAAAATGAGCTCTCACAGGTAATTTTTTCAGCCATATTTGAGATGGCTCATAGGGGAGATTCCTTGAAAATGGCTGATTTCATATGGACTGACCCTTTTGAGCTATGGAGATGAAGACAGACTAATAATAAATGATTACTCAAACAAATGTGCAAATGAAACTAAACACAACTCAAGCTATGTTTTTGATGAGGTATCAACATCATAACGAAATAATACAGTAAAATAATGTTTTCTCTTTAAACCTGACCCTTACTTGACCTGGTTACAGCCGCTCTTCTTCCTTCTTGTCTCCATGGAAATGTTGTTGCCTAGAATAATCCACAGTATGGCGTAAAACTCAAAACTATCTCAACTTTACTTTTTTATTTTCATGGAATGATTGATGATGATGATTTTCCACCTCCAGAAAGTTATGCAGTATTTCATCAAAAATATAAAAAATACCCTCATATTACAAAACAAATGGGTCAAAAAACACTGTGTTATTACATGTTCCAGCTTTTCACAGGATGATAAATATGTTGAGTACAGCTGGAAGTATCAACAACTTTAAAGGTCCTATACAGAGGTGTGCAAAAATAACAAAATATCGATATGTCATATCATTTAATGTGATGATACAGTATTGATATTGTGGGATAATGTATTGATATATCACCGAGAGCATTTTTTAGTATATTTTACTAAATTATTTTGTTACAGCGCTACAGTGTTTATATGAACTTTGCACAAGAAGTGGTTTAACAAAGACTTTTAGTATCACAGACATGATTTAGCCTTTATTTTTTATTGAACTATATGGAATTGTTTTGACGTATCGAATTAAAAGCTCACTGTATCGAGATATGTATCATATCGTGGCCTATGTATCGAGGTATGTATCGTATCGGCAACTTTTTATTAATACCGAGCCCTTGTCCCTTATTACACAAAATGTATTCTTGTGAACTTTAAGGTATGTTACAATGACGTTACCTCCTCAAACTCATACCTGGAGTTGTGTTTTGTTTCATTCACACACGTTTGAGTAATCAAAATCGATTTCTCTGTTTCACCTTGTGATGTCATGAAGCGGCAGTTTTCAAGTTAACAGCTACTTTTTTCTTTTTTTTTTTTACTTTGTATTTATTAAGTTTAAGCTCATCATCGTCAATTACAAAGCTGATTAGATATATGTTAGAATAGACCAAACCGTATAGAAAAAAACTATAGTTATAACAGAAACAATTATACATATACAATTATAATAATAAATAAGTTAATACATTAATAAATAAATAAAATGAAATAAAATGAAATAAAATGAAATAAAATGAAATAAAATAAATAAAATAAAATAAAATAAATGAGATGAAATGAAATGCTAAGGTTGCTGGGATAATAGAGCAAATGTGGAACAGCTCCCTTTAACCTTTATTTCTATAGAGATTGGCAATTCCAGGGCTGAAATTATCCAAATGATCCTAGTGAATGTGTATAGAGTTTAAAAACACAGCGAAGCACTTCCACACGACATCACAAGGTGGAACAGAGAGAGAGAAATCAGCTTAAATGTGCAGGATTTGTGTGTTAAACTTGTGTGAATAAAACAAAACCCAACTCCCGGTCTGTTGTGATGAGGAAACAACATTATAACTGACCAGAAAACAGCGTAATATGGGCCCTTTAACCAAACATGTCTCAGTGTGTTGTTATGACTTATGAAGAAGTGAATGAGGAAACTCTATCTCCGCCGTGGCCCCTATCCCTGGAGTCAAAGAGCCAGACACAAAAGCGCAGACAATATTGGTGAGGTTTAGTTTACCATCAGCTCAATGAAGATTTTAGTGCCCTCCCAAAGGCCTGTTGAGTCACCCGCACGATATGTTTTGGGAATATGGAAATGAGCTACTGCACATACAAATAAGAACAAGTCTGCAATGAATACAGCTATATATATTTGAATATGCTCAGAGCAAAGGGGAAATAAAGGTAAGAGTTGAAGTACAGTATGTTTTGTTCTTTTTCGATAGGAGGATGTCGAGGCAATATCAGAAAGGACTGCGCGCCTGGAAAGGACATTTTCTTCCAGTTTTATGGATTTTGATATTGGCAAGTCCTCAGCTAATTGGTAAGTACCGAATTAATAATCCAATCAAAGCTGCTGTGTAAACTGCATCTAAAACTGACTATTTCAGGTCTAAACTTGAACTAAACCAGGATTAGGATTTATTTCAAACCATAAGAAGAGAAGACTGGAGGACTAACAACAATTTAAAGGCCCTATATTACACTAAATTGACTATTCTGAGCTTTAATTTATGTTACAGTGTTGTTACCTCCTCAAAAACATACTTGTGTTTCGTTTGAGTAAGCCTTTTATTATTGGACTGTCTACATATTTAAAGCTCAAAATGCTCTGTTCCACCTTGTGATGTCATGAAACAGTAGTTAATTTGATTGGCAATTCCAGGACTAAATTCATCCAAATGATTCTAGTAAAGGTGTATGGAGTGTAAAAACACAGTGGAGCACTTCCTGTATTACCGCATGATGTCACAAAGTGGAACAGAGTGTTTTCAGTTTGAGAGAAGAACTCCTAAATATGCAGGATTGTTACATTGTGTGTTAAACATGTGTGAATGAAACAAAACACAACTCCAGGTCTGTTTTTCATGAGGAAACAACTAGGAATGTAACAATAACTGCAATATCGTGATATTGTATCGTCAAAGTTCTCACAATAATATCGTGGACCATCACAATATATCGAATTATCGAAGTCTCTTTGCTTAAATGAATAGTTATGGTGCCACAATAGCTAAAAAAATTATCTTTGCTCCATTTCAGTGCAGACTAGATGAAGAAATAACTGTTCTACGCACTTTTAAGTTTTAGCTTTTTGGATTAAGTCCTGTCAAGGCATTTTAAAAGGAAAAAGTAGCATATCATTTTGTTAGCTCCACAAAATATTACAATAAATATCGTACCGTGAGATGTATATTGTGAAAATATCGTACAGAGAGATTTGGATATTGTTACATCCCTAATCGTGAGCCTCCCCACCATATCGTGAGCTTTCCCACGATATTGCAATAAATATCAAACTGTGAGGTTCATACCGTGAGGATATCGTATCGTGAGACTTGGATATTGTTACACTTCTAAAAACAACATTATAACAGAAATCAGAAAATAGCGTAAAATTTGAGTTTTAAATAATACGTTAGTTTTAAATTTAACACCAGGTTACATTCACGTTTTAGAATACGATGATGTTATAATTTCACTCTATGTAACTCTATGGGAGATTCAGAGTTTTGGAAAGAAATTCAAACTTCTGATCCATGAATGTTGAACCTCATCATTATTCATTTATTTAATATTTGCTCCACAATCTTGAAATATTAAACTTTTGGCTTAATGACCTTTTAAGTAGAGATGCACGGATTGCGGTTACAACCGCGGTATCCGCAGATGGTCGGGCGGATGACGTGATGAAAAATTATATTTTAATTAAATTTGGGCTACTAAAAAAAAAAAAAAAAAAGTTATTGTTAGTATTGTTACCTACATCTGAAAAGACGAGTCTCATTGTCTATGCTTGTAGTATGAAGTGTACGTCATATCCTTAATTAGCCCATTTGAGCTCGTTTTTATGTTCTGAAGGTTCAGGTTGTGTCGGGTTATTGATGCCTAAGGTTTACGAGGCACATATTATATGCAGTTTATTTTATTATTTCTAATTTATTTCAGCTGTTTGCCAACACATAAGTGGCTATAGGGCCATATTTATTTAGTTATGAATATTTTTTCTTGCCTATTTCAATTGGAATATAAAGAGGGCATTGCCTGATTTCAATAAAGGTTCATCTGGATGAGATGATCTGTCTATTTTTTTTCGATATCAGATATATTTTAAAACACGCAGACATTATAGCGTAGACTGCCACTCGGGGGTTTTTAAAACTTAAAGAAAGACCCATGGAGTGAGGCTATGACTTTGAAATAACATCGGGCAATGGCAGAATGTTCAGAATGTAACAACATCCAACACGAAGGCAAGAAGGTTCAAAAATAGCCTAGTCGGAAAACGTTGTCAATTAATTAGCTGCGCAAGAAAACCAGGTAAGTTTGGGGTTGTTACACGCTGAGCGAATTTTGGAATGAATGAGCTATAGCTTTTGCATTTTTATCGAGGCTCCTTAGTTTGTTTGCTGTATGATTGTTCTAAAATCTAAAATCAATCGGCGGATGGCGGGCGGGTGCGGTTTTGAAAACCTTAGGTGCAAAATGGACAGCGGGCGGATGATGAGTTTTGTGTCGCGGTTGCGGATGAAAAAATAGCCCATCCGCGCATCTCTATTTTTAAGTGACAATGATCCCGTCTTTGGGGTTGAATAATAGAACCATTTTCTGAGCCATTGTGGAAAAAAATACATGTTCACTTTTGTTTCTGTGTGGTGACATAGATAACTTTGAATTTCATACCACTAAGTAATAATATTGTACTGTATTGTTCCATGTGGCTCAGTAATTACAGAAATATTAACCATAAACCAGATCAAAAACCAAATCAGCTCCATTTAAACCGACCACATACCACCAAAGGTAGATGTGACATAATAATATAAACTGATATAAAGATCGTTGCTGGATTGAAATGACCAAAAGTAGTAGTTTTTACAGCATTCTTGTTTTAATTGTTCATTTATTTTTACATTTCTGCTATTGTAACTTAAATAACAAACTTTTTCATATGACAGACTTAATATAAAAGTTCTCAGCCTTATTAAAGATTTTGTGGTTGAGCCAAACCTACGTCAGCATTTGAACTCATTGACTTTCTTGTCTTGTATCTGTGACACTCTGCTCCAAATAACTTTCAATGTGTCGTTCTCGTTAAAAAAAAGTTGGGGACGGCTGGTTTAACCTATAATTATTTTAGTGTTTATAAACTTATTGTAGATTTTTATGTCCAACTTAACTACATTTGTGATTTATGACATGATATAGTTGTTATCTTGATAAAATTATGTTACTTTTACTGCCCACTTCCTTTATTCGTGGGTTTCAGAATGATAAAAAATGATAAACGTTGCCATAGCGATAAACAATTTAAAGCAAAATATGATTATAATTTCTCACACCTCAAAACGTTGCGTAAAACAGGAACGCTGAAACCCCTGAATAAAGGCGTAAACAGTCTGCTCTATAATCTATGTGAGATCATTGAGTTTCTTTCGTAAATAGGTTACACTGTGCAAGAGTTGAATAATTTACTCCACACCCAACTAATTGTTATCTGGACGTCACAAAGTTTACGCACTTTCTCTTTTTGAGTTCAGATTTTATCAGAAGCTATCACACGTTTATTCAACAGGAAAAAGCTTATGACATCACTTCTGGGAAAATGTCCCTCAGTACCTTTTATCACACACACACTTATCTAACCCAATCTGAGGACTTCTCATAATTCAACATTTTCAGGATGTGGTTAACACACAGTTGCGATACAGTAATATGCAACCTAATCTGACAGGATTCAATAATGACCTAAAATTACAAAAAACTAAAACAAAAAAACAAAACAAAACAAAAAAACAAAGATGATCAAGGACTAGAGAAACAGTGAAAATGTTGTAGGTAAAGTATCCTAGAATTAAATATTATCTTATTGCTTATAGGTAGGTAGTAGTAATAGTTGTAGAGGTTCATGTATTAATTAGTGTATTAATGTATTAATAGTACCTTTGTTGAGTAGTCCTCCTATATACGCTATTAGGTCCAACCTTTTGTCTAAGCCAGGTGTGTCAAACTCAAATTCACAGAGGCCAAAATTAGAAACTGAGACTAAATCATGGGCCAAACTAAATATTAAAGAAAAATTTCAACACCATCTGCATGTTTTCTCTTCTGTCGAGACATGTAATGTTCAACTTTTTCTTATTAAAATAAATGTTTAACAATAGTTCCGCTTAAACATTGAATCCAGAACAAGCAAAATATAAAATAATAACACAACTTTAAATAAATAATTTCCACATAGTCTATGTGTAGCCGACGGTCCAGCTCTAATACATATTTGATATGATCTTGCAGGCCAAATATAATTATATCGCGGGCCAAATTTGGCCCCTGGGCCTGAGTCTGACATATCTGGTCTAAGCAATCCTTATTTTAAGAGTGGATACGGTGGGGACTCCATCATTCTTCTCATACCTGACATTGAAGCTCAACAGTGACTGCCCACACCCTGGCTCTGGAAGTGAATTTCTCGTCATTTTTCGCATAGATTTTCTGAAAAAGTAAAACAAAAAAAAAAAGTATATGAAAAGTTTGAAAGCTCAGAGCTAATCACCAATGTGATAACTGATGACAAGACCTAAAATTGTATTTAAAATCTGTTTCTGAAACTTTCTAAACAGAAAAGTTATTGAAACATTTCACATTTTAAATGTGTTTTTTGAACTTTAGTTATGGACATTAGTTAGCACATAGCTGGTTAGCCTTTGTTATGTCTTTGAACTCTTAATATTAGATTTTTTCCGAGGCAGGCGATCACTGTTGAGATCCATACAGCCTTACACATGTGTGTATGTATCAAAATACATGCATATATACAGCATGTATATAATAATATACACTATAAAGCTTAATTATTTTATGGTTACCTAAGATGTTACATAACCTAATAATAATTAATAATAATTATAAAATGGGCTTCGTGGAAAGTAATTAACGCTCCAGTACTTAATTATAGCCTAAATGTAGCTATCTTGACATCATTTTAAGAAATGATCTAGGGACCCGCTGAGAATCTCTGAGAACCTAGATTTGGTCCTAGCCCCGTAAGTTGAGAACATAGACTGTATAAAAAAATATACGGTCTGTGGTTGAAAATCACTTCCCCATTAGCATCCACCTCTGTCTGTCCATTAGTCTTTCTGAAACATCAAACATGTAAAGACAAACGCACTTTCCGACGTTATTATTATTATTTGCAGTTTTACCCTGTGTTTTCCTTCCCAGCTCAGGGTTTCTTCCTGGGCGACATCAAGGCGGTGCTGAACGGCTGTGAGGACCACTGGACGCTGCAGGAGAGAGCCGCGTTCCCGCTCTTGTACCGGATGACCGTGTGCGTAAACATCCGCGTGATGGCGCCGGGGCCGTGGATCGCGTTCACGTACAGCTCGGTGCACGGGCTCATGCCGGAGCTCGGGCTGGAGGGAGACGAGGGGGCCCTGTACGCGTGGCTCCTCCGCGTCAAACACAGATTCCCGCAAAAACTGACGCAAAAAGAGTGGCACCAGATTTGTTTGCGGAGAGACGTGGTGAGCAGCTCCTTCAGCCTGGAGGTAAGACGGGTACAATACACGAAATAGGACAATATTTAGTGCGACCAAACAGTTACTAGAGAGAGAAACACAAAATATTTCATTGCGATCTTCTGACAAGCATTGCGATTGCGATTAGATTTGCGATTTGTTGTTTTAAAGGTGCATTGTGTAACTTGTCTGCTGGAGAGTCTATCACCTCCTTGTTTCCATAGATGTGTCGTTACTCTGTCTGAAATGTTCCACCGTGTGACATTAAACAGCTCTACCTCACATTTATTCAATTACAAGTGGTTTTATAGCTCAACAATACCTACAAAATATACATTCTGACTGTGAGCGGTGTTGCCTCTCCACAGATCTGACCTGTAACTTTGTCTGGTTTGGTCTCCATGAAATAAAAAGGTTTAATCCCAAACAAAGCAATAACTTTTTCTTCATGGAGACAAGCATTTAACAGACCCTCCACCTGAAAAGTTGCACAATGCACATTTATAGGCCCTAAAAATATTCAAAGTTCACATTTTAATTGTGTTATGTATTATCAACTATTAGGGTTTTATTTGTTTGTAGACAACAGCTATAAAGAAATACACAAGATCTTATCAAACCTAAATTAAATGGAAAATAGCCTACGCCCATCGACAATTGGATGCCATTTAAAGTAAAATAAAAATAAAGATCACAACAAAGCAGCAATTGTAATTATGAGACTAATTACTTCATCCATTTTAATAACTGTTTGAGAGACATGAATTACAGTTTAATCGATACAGCAATTTACATGCACACAATTAACACATCGCAAAGGCTGCCATTTTGTAAATAGTCTGCCATCGATGTCTCCACGAACAACAAAAGACAGAATTGTGCATAAAAAAACTGTTAACCCTGTAGTTTAAAAATGGTCTAAAATGTGGTTCTTATGTTAGATTGTCAGTTTAAATATTCCTTTTTTTTTTTTGTCAATTCTTCTGTGTTAAAATGTGAACTTTGAACTCAGTCTTTTTATTAAATGTTATGCTATTTTCTGATGTTATAATGTAGTTTTATCAATTGTGTTTTCTTTCTTTCACACATGTTTAACACACAAACTAAAGTTCTTCTCTCAAACTGAAAACTCTCTCTTCCACACTGGGAAAAAAAAAAAAACAAAACAGTATCTAGGTAAATTAAAACGACTTCAATTAAGAACATTTGACTTTTTTGATTCAGCTTGACAAGTAAAAATATCTACCAGTGGAAAAAGTGTGTTTTTCTTCTTTCAAGCAACATTTGATTTTGTTTCTTATGATAAGTGCAAAAAGTAGTTGTTTTTCTTAGTTTAAGTGCAGCAAGATGTATTTTCATATTTTAAGTGCAAAAAGTCGGGCAGATAATTTTACTTGTCGAGTGAAATTGACTTAAAGCGTGATAAAACTTTCTTAATTCAAGACATCTGAACTTGAGTAGATTTTCTGCACCTTGTGATGTCATGTGGTAATACAGGAAGTGCTCCACTGTGTTTTAAACTCCATACACCTTCACTTGAATCATTTGTATGAATTCAGCCCTGGAATTGCCAATGTCTACTGAACTAAAACTACCTATTCATGACATCACAAGTTGGAACAGAGCATTGAGAGCTTCAGAGACAGACTTAAACATGTGTGAATTAAACAAAACACAACTCCTGGTATGTTTTTGATGAGGTAACATGGCTAAAAGCTCATATGAGTCAATTTTGTGTAATATAGGACCTTTTAAACTCACAAATTGCAATACTTTTTAGAAAAATTTGATTAGATATTTTTCTCAAATCACTCAGTTTTACTTGAAATAATCTAAAAAGCTCATACTAGGCTGCTTCGTACACATTCATATAACGTATAATTATCATTATTCCCATCAGGTGGATAACCAGGTGGTGGGACACAGGGTGGTGATAGCCCAGGCCATCTCCTCGTACGGGTCCCTGTGGCTGGGATGTGGGCAGAGGGACTCGGGTGCCACATCTGCCCCGGGGCACGTGGAGCTCTACATGTTCCGAATGTGGGCGGACCTGGAACAGCACCTGCCCTGCGAGGACGGCTCCGTGATCGGCTGGTCATCAGAATACTGGGGCGTGACCAGCGCCAGGGCCAGAGAGAGGGACACTGATCTACCCTGTGGTAAATATATGGTCTTAATTAAATACTGAGTGTACTATTTAATTTGAAGGGGTCTGAACTGCAAAAAGTACACTCAGGACAAGTTAAAATAGCTTGAATTAAAGGTGCACTATGTAACTTTTTGGTTGGAGGTCCATCATCTTGTTGTCTCTATGGATATGTCATTGTGCTGTCGTGAATATTCCACAGTATGACATTAAACAACTCGACTTTACATGTTTTCAATTTCAGGTGGTTTTATACAGGGTATCCCCACGTTTGACTACCCAAAATTTAAGAGTTTTAAGACCTTTTTAAGATCACTTAAATGAAAATTAAGACCAACATCGCACCCATTATGCGGGCGAAAAACAACAGATCCAATTCTAATAATGACCAAACAATTATTTTATCTAAAATCTAAGGCTATGTTTATATGATGACGGTCTGAACAGAAGACGCAAAAGTGGCGTCGCATCTTAACTTTTTATTCCGCGTTTTCGGGAGGAAATCTGCGTGCATACGGTGACACAAAAATGTGTATGTGACTTAAACATGTACACGACATGAACAGATCTGACCAGAGCGTCTTGGGCAGTGTAGAGGGAAACGCTACGGCAGAGCGTATTCAGCTTTTCCACTCTGGAGGGTGGTTTCAGATTTTTGCATTTTTAAGCCCCAAAAACGCTGTCACTGTCTAAATGAAAAGCACTGCCAATAAAATATTTTGTTGTTTTTACCCGCAAGCATTTGCGTGTAAACAGGCCCTAAGAGCCACTGTGGATTAAAATTACACTTCCCCATTATCTGTTGTTGTTGTTTTTTTTTCTCCTCTCTCCATTTAACATTGCACTGCAGCCCAGTTGAGTATACAAAAAAATAGTCTAATGAAATTTAAGACCTTTGAGAAAAAAAAGAAGACCTGGACAGTATAATTCAAGACTTTTTAAGGTCTTGATTTAGGAACATGAAATTTCAGACCTTTTTAAGACTTTTACCCTGTTATAGACCATACTTACAATAAACAGGCATTTTGACTGTGAGCTTGCGCCTCCACAGATCTGACCTGTAACTTCAAGAAAGGTCTATCCGAATTACAGGTCAGCTCTGTGGAGAGGCGAAACTGCTCACAGTAAGAATGCATGTTATTTAAGGTATTTTTGAGCAATAAAAAAACACGCAATTAAACACACGTTAGTCAGATGTGTTTAATGTCATACTGTACAACATTCCTGGCAAAACAATGACATCTCCGTGGTGACACACAGGTAGCAGAAAAGTTACATAGTGTACATTTTCGAGTGAATATGTTTTGCCACACCCTAGTTGTTTACGGTAATGAGTCTCTGCTATTGTTGTGTCCACTGAACAAAAAGTCCTTACTGTACACAACTAGGGTGTGTTTCAGTGTAGGCAGCTCCTCCTTTTAGGCAGGTGTAAAGCATTGACTTAATATAATAGCTATAAATAAAGAATAATAGTTAATAATGATATTGTGTAAATTAAACTATAGTAATAAACTCAGAAGTTCCTGGTTGGATTTCTTGGACCATCTGGGAACATTTATCTGAAATTTGTATGAATGCAATATGACAAAACCTCATTGATCAACAGCAATTTTTTAATTTCATTTAGTCCTTTCACAAACAAATAAAATGACTTTCAATAACAATTTCTTACCATGAACAAAACTTTGAAGAACTTCTATTTGAAAGAAGAAAAAAAAGTCAGATTTAGTCCAATGAGGTTAATTTGGTCTTTAGTATTTTATGTTATTAGATTCTTTTTTCAGTCCACTGTCAGGTATGAAAACAAACTCCTGGTCTAAAGAACCTAATAACATAAAATGTCAGACTTATTTTTTTAAGGGTGCATTGTGTAACTTTTCTGCTGGAGGGTCCATGAAATGCTTGTCTCCATGGAGATGTTATTGCTTTGTCTGGAAGGTTTTCACAGTTTGGTATTAAACCTTTCTAACTTCATGGAGACCAAACCAGACCAAGTTACAGGTCAGATCTGTGGAGAGGCAACCCCGCTCACAGTCAGAATGTTTTTGTTGGTATTTTTGAGCTATAAAACCACCTGTAATTGAATAAATGTAAAGTAGAGCTGTCTAATGTCACACTGTGGAACATTCCAGTCAGAGCAATGACATATCCATGGAAACAAGCAGGTGACGGAACCCCAGTCAAAAAGTTACACAGTACACCTTTAAAATCTTACATACAATACTACTACATACTTGTTTTGACAGAGTATTGGCAGTGGACCTCTCCAGTTTGCATGTTCTTTACCTGTGTATTACAGTAGTAGCAGTAGTAGTCGTAGTAAAATTAGATGTTTTACTTAATGGTCCATAGTTTTCTAACTGCTAGTACTAACACATGACTTCTCTTGTATGACTTCTAATAGTAATGTATTTAGAGCATGCTGCATGTTAACTCTTGAATGTCTGTTGAAGTCCACAGGAATTTGTCTCGGCGAAGAAGACGATCTGGTGTGTAATAATGAACTTAAACTAGCTTTTGTTGACTGTGAACGTTTTAAATCAGCAATCTGCGTTCACATGTTAGAAATGGATAATGGAAATCAGATGGAGGACAGGAGCTTTTATACATCTATGGGAGATTTACTGTTTTTGAAAGAAAATGTAAATGTAAAAAGTTACTGTCATTTTTTTGGTATTGGCTCCCCAAATTTGACATATCATTATCATATTATTATTATTATTATTATTACTTTAAGCCATGTTATAATATTGTTTCCTCCTCAAACACATACTCAGAGGTATGTTTTGTTTTATTCATACATGTTTGAGTAACACTTTATTAGTTTGTCTCCATCTCCAAAGCTCAAAATGCTCTGTTCCACCTTGTGATGTCATGAAGCGCTACTTTTCAAGTCAACAGCTCCATTTTTACTTTTAGTTGAGTGTAGATTGACAATTCCAGGGCTGAAATTCCAAATGATTCCAGTGATGGTAAATGGAGTTTAAAAACCACATGACATCACAAGGTGGAACAGAGTGTTTTCTGTATGAGAGAAGAGCTCTTTTTCTAAATAAGCAGGGTTTGTGTGATAAACATGCGTGAATAAAACAAAATGAGTCAATAATCACAGAGATATTAGCCACAAACCAGGTCAACAAATCTGTAATTTATCATTTAAACACTAAATTCCACCATAGAATTTTGACCTGTCCTCCAGCTCAGATTAAACTTTAAACTTTAAAAACTTTAAACCTATAACGCAACCTATGTCAACTTTCATAAATTGTGTGAAGAATCGTGGAAATTCATACTTTTTCTTCCTTTCTGGCTCGCCTGCATGTGGCTTTAATGGTGGATGTTTCCTTCTGTCATATGTATAAAGGCAGGAGAATTGGAAATGATTGATTGATATATTGACTTTTTTTTTTTTTTTTTACAAGTCTTCATCAGAATCCAATGATTTATTGTTGCAAATTCTGGGCTTTGTATCCAGCTCTCATGTTCTGTTGGGACTGTTCTTAAATTGTAAATATAAAAAATCACTACCAGTCAGAAGTTTGGACACACTTTTTCATTTACGTTTCTTCTTTATTTCCATGGTTATTGTAGATTCTCACTGAAGGCATCAAAACTATGAAATGGAATGTAGCAAACAAATTCAAAATAACTCAAATTTTTTTTTTTAGATTTGAAAATTTACCCTTTGGTTTGAACCATAGTTTGCACCTTCATCATTTCCTGACCCTGACCAAGGCCAAGAGTTCGTGGCTATATTTGAGGATTTTAACAAAAAATATGAAAAAAATTATTTACTTAGTTGGGTTATTTTTGCTAGATAATTCTTTGTTTGCTGCTTCATATATTTGATGTCTTCTGAATGTATTTAAAGATGACTCCAAACTTTTGACTGGTAGATATGTTTAAAATATGTATAAAAATATAGTATGACCCTAACAGAATTATTTGAGAATGCGGTTGAGTAAAAATCCATTCATTACTCTGCCTAATCTGCTTAAATGATCTTTTACACCATATTAATGTATAATTCTTAATTTTTATTCCATTACCTATAATTTTATCTGTTTCAGTTGAAGAGAAGAATTGCAACTGTACACTTTTTTGCAAAAATCAAAGTAAGGCAATCTTTATCATACGTGATTAAAGATGTGTTTTTATATGTACAACTAATGCTACTTTTACCGTTTTATAGGCCATTTCTACTCACAAGACCTGAATGTTACCGATGTTACCGTTAATGCGAAGTTCCTCCAAAACATTGTATGTACTCTCACCCATATTATTGTTATATTGACCCAGATTACAACTGACTGACTGATTTTGTTTTCCTTGTAGTTGACAAAACAAGTGATTTCTAACTGTGGACCTAAACGAGAGTATGTTCCGCTACATATAATTATGAGTTTATGATTGTTATTGCTTTATGTAACTGTTGTATTTCTCCTTGCAGTTCAGAATGCAGACAGTCTTTAGAAGACCTTAGAACTCAAGGACTCAAGGTATGTCAAACATTACTTCACATGCAGTAGTTTTCATACATTATCACAGTAACTATTTTATATATACCGTATTTTCTGGACTGTAAGTCGCACTTTTTCGTGGTTTGGGTGGTCCAGCTTCTTATACTCCGGTGCGACTGATATATTAAAATTTTCACACTGACAGTCGCGAGAGGCTCTAGGCTTGTGTATCAGTATCTGCTACTCCTATTACTCCTGTACCACTGTCACTTCGCTCTACTGCGCATGTCTCCTGCAGAAAGAGCCTCTGTCCTGCTACAAGTAGTGAAATATTCAGCCGAAAACGGTAATCGAGCAGCAGAAAGAAAGTTTGGAGTGAGCAAGAACTTCTATAACTCATTATCAGTGTTGGGGAGTAACAGATTACATGTACCGGAGTTATGTAATCAGAGTACAAATTATGAGTAACTGTATTCAGTTACAGTTACTGTTTCAGTGAGTGGTAATTGGATTACAGTTACTAGTTGGAATAAATGGATTACACAGCGGTATTTGCTGTTTTCACATTTTGGGTTAAACCAGGACTAAACCAAGACTAAACCAGGACTAATCCAGGACTAAACCAGGACTAAACCAGGACTAAAACCAGGACTAAAACCAGGACTAAACCAGGACTAAACCAGGACTAAACCAGGACTAAACCAGGACTAAACCAGGACTAAACCAGGACTAAAACCAGGACTAAACCAGGACTAAACCAGGACTAAACCAGGACTAAAAACAGATTAAAACAGGACTAAATCATGCTGTGTGGACCGTATCTCCTCGTCTGCTATCAATAATATTTTTAATTAGGTTCAGTAAAGTCTGGGCTTTTTATTTTCTTTTATCAGACAAAACATCTTAGGTTATGATTTCCTCGTCTTTGCTTCTCTACAGCAAATCAAGTAATCCAAAGTACTATGTTACTCACTTTAAGTAATTTAATGGATTATGTTACAAACTACATTTTGGTGTATGTAATCTGTAATGTGTAGGGGAATACATTTTAAAAGTCACCTTCCCAACACTGCTCATTATAGATATGAACTAATTATTAAAGTATTTCTGACTTCTATTTATTTATTTATTGCAGTTTGTGGTTTTACATTTAAACTATTTTGGGGGGGACTACTTCAGGTTTCTTGTGACAGTGCTATAATTTCATTTCAATGTTTTATCATCTATATTTTCTTCAAGAATATATTTCTCTTCAAAATGTGTTATCATGATACGTCTAATGCTGGTTCATCTTGTTTTTTTCTTGTTTTTGTTTCTAGAAAACGTATGTGAGCTGCCAAATCATAGTCGAAAGGTAGAAATCAAAATATTACATTCTCACATTCTCATAGCATCATTGTTATATGCAATAGTCAAATCCAGTAGTGGAAGAAGTACTCCATTTTGGTACTTAAAGGTACATTGTGTAACTTTTCTAGTGGAGGGTCCATCAAATACTTTTCTCCATGGAGATGTTGTTGCTCTGGCTGGAATATGTCACAGAATTGGCATTTAAACCGTTCTATTTTCACTGCGAGCCAAACCAGACCAAGTTACAGGTCAGATCTGTGGAGAGGCGACCCCGCTCACAGTCAGAATGACAGTTTACTTTTTCAAGGTATTTTTGAGCTATGAAAAACACCTGTAATTGAATAAATGCAAAATAAGGCTGTTTAATGTCACACTGTGGAACATTCCAGGCAGAGGAATGACATCTCCACAGAAACAAGCAGGTGACAGACCCTCCACCAGAAAAGTTACACAATGCACCTTTAAGTAAAAGTACAGAAAGCTAAAGTACAGGAGCTAAAAAATACCGAAGTACAAGTATCACATGAAAAAAAATCAGCTTAGGTAAAAGTATTAAATGTACTTAAAGACTAAAAATAAAAGTATTTTGCTCCAGTTTTGAGGTCTAATAAAGCTTCCAATGTAGTGATTTTGATACAGATTTGTGCTGAATTGTATTATTTTTAATTTTTTTGGATATTTTTGTTTTCTTAACCTATGAACACGTTAAAAATAAACCCTCAGCTCTTTATGCAGACAATAAAACATACTTTTACTTTTCAGTACAGTTAAAAATGTAGTGAAGTAGAAAGCACAGATACCCGCTCTCAAATGTAATGAAGTAAAAGTAAAAAGTATCCACCTTAAATTCTACTTAAGTAATGTACAGATACCTAACATTTACTACTTTACCACTACTTTACTACTTTACTTCATTAAGTTCCACCGCTGGTCAAATCAAGCCCTCATTTCTACAGTCAGTGCAGTACGTTTAATGATAATTGTCTGTCTGTGCAGGTCTTACAGCTGCAAAATGATCATTGAATTCAACAAACTGATCACAGACTGTGCAGTGCTCCCAGCCATACAGAGACTCATCAACAACGCAGACGGAGTCACGACAAACGGGGACCTAACTCCTATAGGTAACAGTATATTTCAGAAAGTATTGTAATTATTTTAATTATATTTTAATAACATTGCTTCTCTATTTCTCAGTGGTGTGTGGTGATTTTGAGGAAGTTACTGATACTGTGCTGACTTCCACACTGCGGTGGATTTCAGGTGGTTTAAAGAAATCTGACATATGTGAAGGGGAGCAAACTCATTACACATGGTAATGCTAAATTGTGGACAGTATATAGGCTTATATCTTGTATTTTACAGTATTAGCACTTCATAGTAGCAGCCACCAATAAAACAATTAATATTTTGATTCTGATTAATAAATAAAATATGTTTATCATAATAGTAATAATGTCTTCTATAACACCTACAGTGACATTTTATTTGTGTAAACTGTGTTGACTGTGAAATTTTGTGAATGTTACTTTATCCAGTTACACGTAGGCATAGCCAGGGCAAAATCAAACCATCTAAGAAAACTAAAAAACACAAAATAAATACTAAAAAGTAATAAAAGTAATTTGAATAGTTGTTAGTACGTTTTAGGATATTTTAACTTTTTGTTCTTTGTCATTTCCAGTGCCCCGAGTGAAAATATTGCTGTGGTTTTGAGTGACACTTGCGAATCAGCTGCTGCTCCTACTACTGCTGCTGCTCCTACTACTGCTACTATTATTACTACTACTACTACTACTGCTGCTCCTACTACTACTACTGCTGCTCCTACTACTACTACTGCTGCTCCTACTACTACTACTGCTGCTCCTACTACTACTGCTGCTGCTCCTACTACTGCTGCTCCTACTACTACTACTGCTGCTCCTACTACTACTACTGCTGCTCCTACTACTGCTGCTCCTACTACTACTACTGCTGCTCCTACTACTACTGCTGCTCCTACTACTACTACTACTGCTGCTCCTACTACTACTACTACTGCTGCTCCTACTACTACTACTGCTGCTCCTACTACTACTGCTGCTCCTACTACTACTACTGCTGCTCCTACTACTACTACTGCTGCTCCTACTACTGCTGCTCCTACTACTACTGCTGCTCCTACTACTGCTGCTCCTACTACTACTACTGCTGCTCCTACTACTACTACTGCTGCTCCTACTACTACTACTGCTGCTCCTACTACTACTACTGCTGCTCCTACTACTGCTGCTCCTACTACTACTACTGCTGCTCCTACTACTGCTGCTCCTACTACTACTGCTGCTCCTACTACTGCTGCTCTACTACTACTACTGCTGCTGCTCCTACGACTACTGCTGCTCCTACTACTACTACTGCTGCTCCTACTACTACTACTGCTGCTGCTCCTACTACTGCTGCCTCTACTACTACTGCTGCTCCTACTACTACTGCTGCTCCTACTACTACTACTGCTGCTCCTACTACTACTACTGCTCCTACTACTACTACTGCTGCTCCTACTACTACTGCTGCTCCTACTACTACTACTGCTGCTCCTACTACTACTGCTGCTGCTGCTGCTGCTACTGCTGCTCCTACTACTACTACTACTACTGCTGCTACCTACTCTACTACTCCTACTACTGCTACTGCTGCCCTACTACTACTACTACTGCTGCTCCTACTACTACTACTACTCCTACTACTGCTACTGCTGCTCCTACTACTACTGCTACTACTACTACTACTGCTGCTCCTACTACTACTGCTGCTCCTACTACTACTACTGCTGCTCCTACTACTACTACTGCTGCTCCTACTACTACTACTACTCCTACTACTACTACTGCTGCTCCTACTACTACTACTGCTCCTACTACTACTACTGCTGCTCCTACTACTACTGCTGCTGCTACCTACTACTACTACTGCTCCTACTACTACTACTGCTGCTCTACTACTACTACTACTGCTGCTCCTACTACTACTGCTGCTGCTCCTACTACTACTACTACTACTACTACTACTACTACTACTACTGCTGCTCCTACTACTACTACTGCTGCTCCTACTACTACTACTACTGCTACTACTACTACTGCTGCTCCTACTACTACTACTGCTGCTACTACTACTACTACTGCTGCTCCTACTACTACTACTACTACTACTGCTGCTCCTACTACTACTACTGCTGCTCCTACTACTACTGCTACTACTACTACTACTACTACTACTGCTGCTCCTACTACTACTACTGCTGCTCCTACTACTACTACTACTCCTACTACTACTACTGCTGCTCCTACTACTACTACTACTCCTACTACTACTACTGCTGCTCCTACTACTACTACTGCTCCTACTACTACTGCTGCTGCTCCTACTACTACTGCTGCTCCTACTACTACTGCTGCTGCTCCTACTACTACTACTGCTTCCTACTACTACTACTGCTGCTCCTACTACTGCTGCTCCTTCTACTACTATTGCTACTACTACTACTGCTACTACTACCACTGCTGCTCCTACTACTTCTACTACTACTCCTACTACTACTACTACAGCTGCTCCAACCACTGTTAGTACTACTGAGACGTCACACCCCACTACCACTCTGATAACTACTAAATATAGTACGAGTCAAGAGACAGAAAAGACCACTACAGCTAGTTCTACTATTAGCAGTACATCTCCTACAACTAATAAAGTCAATACTACAACTGAACAAACTACAACTGAAGTAGAGAAAAAAACACTACCCATTGTAATATATAATACTACTGCAGCTAACATTACAAGCAGTACTTCAAGTTACACTACTACGATTACTACAACGAGTCCAACAATACTAACTAGTGTAACTTCTAAGGTAAATACAACTTCAGTAGCCCCAACGACTTCAACCCAGATTCCACGAACAACAAGTACAAGTTTACCAAATACTACATTGGACAAAACTACTGCTAATACTACAAATATTCCAGTAGTAACAACGGACAATGTAACTACAACGCAAATACCTGAACCGACAACCAGTAATACAACCACTCCTGTACCGCATACTACATCGACACAGCAACCAGAAAGTACCACGCAGATTACTAATACTACTCAAAACGCTACAACTGAGGCGACTGAACAGACTACAGTACACAATACAACTACCATGACAACTTCTCCATCTCCAAGCGTCACCCCAAATACTACTGATACGGAAAGTACCGCTGTTACTAATACTACAATGCCGTCAACAGTGGAGTACAACGCGACTACGACAACTGTACCTAGTAATACTTCTACCGTAGTCACTACAATAATCAGTAATTACACAGGAGCTGATAGAATACTTAACATTACTATCAATTTTAATACAACTACGCCAATACCGACTGTGTACAATACAACAACGCTAAGTAATGTCACTACACCGCCAATTTTCAATACAACTGAAGAAACAAATGCTACTACAGCAATGAATATTACTACAACTAGTGCTACTACTATTACTAATGCTACTACTTTTGCTCCAATTACAAATACAACAGAGTACAACGTGACAGTAACGTTCCACAATGAGACTACAACAAGCGAACCACTACTGAACACAACCATGGAAAGCAATTTCACAACAGTAGAAATTCTAAACACTACTATACTAAATACGACTACTACTTCAATGCCTCAGAATACAACAGTTCAAGTCAATGTTACAGAAGCAGTCACAAATACGACAGAAATGACAACAAACGCAACAGCGACAACACAAGCTAGCAATGTGACGCAAAATACATCTCAAGGTGTCGTGACAACGGTATCGCCGACAAGTAACATTACTGAGTATTTGACCACTCCTAGTATGGGCAATGAGACAGTTGGTGCAATCTCGAATGGGACTACAACTACTACAACTACTCTAGCTACTACTAATGCTACTACTACTACTAATGCTACTACTACTGCTGCTCCTACTATTACTACTACTGCTGCTACTTCCCCTTTTACTACTACGGCTTTTCAAACAACTGAAGGAATGACTACTGTTATTCAGACCTCCACGGCTTCTGGCACAAGTTCTAGTAAGTAGTGAAGTCTCAAGATAACCGATGTTCATTGCACTGGTATACAGAAAGAAAAAGAAAAGAAAGAAATTAGACTATTGCTATTTCTGTTTTTGTGTATGTCAAAAAGGCCTATTTATGAGCACTGCAAAGTCAGATTTATGCAGTTGTGGTGTTGTCAAAGTCATGTTAAAACAAGATGGAGTGTGCCTATGTTCCCTCAGCCCTATGTTCTAAGTTTTTTTTTCTTTCCAAAATTAGGCCCTGTGTTCCCACATTTCCTTTATCATCAGTTTGCAGCTGAATTTATCCCCATTTCTCTCAATCTGGTACTCAGTTACACCCAACTTATTATCCAGCAGCAGTTGACTACAGATGTAATCTAGAGGTCATGGTGCAAAGGATCCTAGGTTGAAATGACTTTGAATCATCCCTTTAAATACGGTATAAAAATAAAAATGACTTGACTGAGTTTAATTTTGAGAAAAATCTTAGAAATAAGGGAACACAGGGCTGAGGGAACAAAAGGTTGAGGAAACATAGGGCTGAGGGAACATAGGTCTGACCCCAGACAAGATTTCCCCAATGAATACAACAACATTTATTCACATTTTCCATATACAAACAGGTAAAATTAAAGGTGCACCAAGTAACTTTTCCGGTAGGGGTCGGTCATTTAATCCCTTGATAAAAACATGCAATCTTACAGTGAGTTTGGCCACCTCTCCATAGATCTAACCTGTAATACCATACTGTAGGCAAGACATAAACATCTCCATGGAGACAAGGAGATGGCAGAGCTTTCATATGTAAAGTTTCCTTGTGCTCCTTTAAATCTACCAACCCATTGCCCATTGATTAATAAATAAATAATGCACTAGACCACAGCAAAGGTTCTATATTACACAAAAGTAACTCTTGTGAGCTTTAACCCATGTTCTAATGTTGTTACCTCCTCAAAAACATGTCCAGAGTTGTGTTTTGTTTCATTCACACGTGTTTGATTAATCATTTATAACAGTCCATTTACATCTTAAAAGCTCAAAATGCTCTTTTCTGCTTCGTGATTCCAAGAAGTGATAGTTTTCAAGTTAACAGCTACCATTTACTTTTAGTTCAGTAGAGATGGCAATTCCAGGACTGAAATTACCCAAATGATTCTAGTGAAGGTGTATGGAGTTTAAAAACACAGTGGAGCACTTCCTGTATTACCACATGACATCACAAGGTGGAACAGAGCGTTTTCTGTTTGAGAGAAGTATGCAGGGTTTATGAATGAAACAAAACACAACTCCAGGTATGTTTTTGATGAGGAAACAACATTATATCAGATATCAGAACACAGCCTAACATGGGCCCTTTAAGCTTTTCTTAGTTTTTTTTTTTTCTATGTATTTTTCCCCCAAGGTACTGGACTGGTTCCTACCACGACAGAGCAAACCACAAGATCTCAACAAGAACTGGAGGCAGAGGCTGATAAACTCCTCTCTGAAACTGAAAACGCATCTCAGCTCAATTCTTCACAGGTAAATCACTGCATATAAACAATGAATAATGAACCATACCTCGAGCTATTTATTTGAATAGACTTTCATTGAGTGAGAGGATACAGAGGCACCTTTATATTTTAATGTAAATGTATGTAAACTTATTCATGGTTCGGCATTGCAGGTGTCGAAGTTAGTGGGGCAGTTGGAGAGTCTGTTGGATGGTCCGTCTGTTTCTCAGGCTGTGGGGGAAAAGGCTGTAAATATAATCAGCAATCTTATGGACGGAGATGCACAGGCGCTCGCTGCATCTGCGAACAGGTGAGAGGCGGAATTCAAAACGTGTATTAAAGGTGCACTGTGTAACCTTTCTGGTAGAGGGTCCAACGTGTGCTCGTCTCTATGGGAGTGTGATTGTTTTGTTTCCCAGTAGAGTAAAAATTCCATTACGGTGATTTTATTGCTTAAAAATACAATGAGATCTGACCTGTATCTAGTCCTAGTGTCAATTTCTGCTTCATGGAGCCTAGATGAGCTTAATGCTTCACTGAGGAACATTCCACGCAAAGCAATAACAGCTCCATGTAAGACTCTCCACAAAAAAAAAAAAAAGTTACACAATGATTTAAAAATATGGATATGCTGCAAAAAATAATTAATATTTACCACTTTAGGTTTATATTAGTGTTGAGCTGAATGATTTTGGAAAAACATCTAGGTGCAATTTTTCTGACAAGCATTGAGATTAAATAAACTATTTATGTTTTTAATAAAAGGATTCTGTTCATTGCTTCGAGAAGAATTGACAAAAAGAATGAATTTCAGAACATGTTTACACAGATCAGGGTTAATCGAGTTAAAAGCCAGAATATTTTGTTGTTTGTGGAGGAAATTAGGTTTTGTGATTTGCTTACTTGCGTCCATTCAAATAGTGATTTCAGATTTGATTGCAATTAATCTTGCAGCTCTAGATGAGTGGATCTAGATTTCTTAGTTGTTCCAAAATTTGTTTGTTTTAGTTGTTTCAATATTGTCTGATTTCAAGCAATATCATCCACTAATCAATGGAAGGGTTATGCAAGTAATCAAAATTCAAATCAATCCCAAATATTAAAAATAGTCAGAGATATTCTTAGTGTTTTTTGAGCGCTACAGCCAATGCTCTGTCAGTAAAAGCATGTGGTTTGGAGTAGACCTTGGTGAAATTGGGCAGTTATTGTACTAAACGGTACTGACTTAAAGCTACAATCCGTAATTAAGCCATGCTGCATTCTCACATATCACCACTAGGTGCTATCTATGTTACTGCTCTCTGATAGTGTGCCAACTTTGTTCTGACTGAAGAAAACCAGAGAACTTGGGTGAGGGGAGGTGAGGAGAAGAGAATAAGGGGGAACAGGTTTCACATCTGTCATCTACTGGTAAAAACATCAAATCAATTTACAAATTAACCAAATTAAACTACGCTTATGAATTCAATATTTAAACAAATTTTTATTTCTTAAAAAATAGAAATAACAAGCAAAATTGAATTGGGATCAGTCAATATGGGGTAAAATTTTAATTATGTTTTATTTAATTTTGTCAGAATTTAATAAGATTTCTTAAACCTGAGGTGACATTAAGAATATTTTGTCATAACTGTTGGCTTAAATGAATGAGTGGTTTTATTCATACATACATATATATTCACCAATAGTAAAGATCTACTCGTTAAATACAGTGAAGTGATCATGAAGATGAATTCTTTGCAGTGTTTAATAAGTGTAATATTATAAATTTAGGTTGATTCGTCTGGTGGATAAACTGGGTGTGAAGCTGGAGGTGCCAGGAGATAATGAAATCCTCTCTTCTACGTCTCTGGTTTTGGCAGTGCAGAATGTGGATGGGACCCAGTTTGCTACAACAACCGCCAATATCTTCAGCACTAGTAACGTTCAGGTAAGTCGGTTTAAAAACATCTTTAAAGGCCCACGTTACACTATTTTCTGATCTATGTATGTGTGTAACCAACAGAAACTGTAAACAAGTAGGTGTGTTAGTTTCAGAGTAGTTTCAGTGTAGTTAGCTCCTCCTTTCAGGCAGATATAAAGCAATGTCGCCCAGCATTTTCACCAAAACTAAAGCAGCTTGGATGAGCTGCGAAAAATATTTGAGCCAAAATAAACCTTTGTCCAGTTGACAAATTGAATTTCTCCTTTCGCCATATTTTCTGATTTATGTTATAATGTTGTTTCTTCATCACAAACATACCTGAAGTTGGGTTTTGTTTCATTCTCACATGTTTAACATACAAACTCTGCATATTTAGGAGTTCTTCTCTCAAACAGAAAACTCTGTTCCATCTTGTGATGTCATGTGATAATACAATTGCACTAATTTCACTAATATAAACCTACTAGACATTGTCACAAGATTTGGATCTCTGAAATTCATGTTAAAAATGTAACTGTAGTAAAAATGTTATAAAATACCAAAAAAGTAAGTATTACCTGTTACATACACAAGAGAGCATTACATTTTTAGAATCTTAAAACTAGTTGTACAAACAATTTAAAATGGTAGTAAAATCTAAATAAAAAATGTAAAACCATTGTAGGTAAATAGGTATAAATAATTTCCATGTTAATTTCTGTTTTATGTTGTTTTATGTTTTAGATCAGTGGGCGCAGAGCCAGATCGTCCGAAGTTCCATTGGGTTCTGTGTTTTTACCTTCGAGTCTGACTGAAGGTCTGAGTCCAGAGGAGAAGCAGTGGGCCAGCAGAGTGCAGTTCAACTTCTACGCCAAGAGCACACTTTTCATGGTATATATATACACTATCACCAACTAATCACTAGTATAATACACAGTTAAAGGCGCACTGTGTAACTTTTCAACTTTTCTAATGGTGGGTCCACTACATGATTTTCTTTAGAGATCAACAGATATGTTTCTTTTTTTTGTTTTCAAAATGTGCGTATATTGACCTAATATATCGGCCAACTGAAATATCGATCTACCTCTACTTGTCTGCATGTAGATGTTATTGTTCTTCCTAAAATGTTCTACAGTATGGCATTAAAACTGTATTGAAACACGTATATTATATTGCACTACTGCACTGAAATACAAGTGTTGTTGTAACTCAAAAAACCTTAAAAAATTCTACTTTCGTGTTATGAGCAGGGTTGCCTCTTCAAAAGATATAATCTGTAAATTGACCCTCCATCAAAAAAGTGACTAAATGACACATGAAATGACCTTTAATGATACATTTATTGATGGTTTATATCTTTATTTTTTGTAGGATACAACTCTAAATGACAAAACGGTGATCAGTCCAGTCCTGGCCTCAAGTGTGGCCAATTTGTCCATAAGCAACCTCAAAGAAAACATCGAATTCACCATAAGAAATACCGACTCCATAAAAGTAGGTTACGATCATTTTACCTTCATGAGCTTTGTGAGGGATTTCATGCTTTTTTTTAACATAACATTTGCTCCTCTTTTTAGACAAACCACTCGATCTCCTGTGTGTTTTGGGATTTTAGAGAAAATGGTGAGTAAAGTATCATCATCATATCATAATCAATCTTAATTAAATAAAGTTAAATCGAGTTTTCAGAGCTTTTCATCATATTATAGGTGTTTTACCTTTTCATTTACTTCATTCTTCAGTTTTATTTTCTTACTCGATGACATGTGTAGGATTCAGTAGTACCACATAAAAAAACTAAATCCGCTACTGAAAAACTTACTCTGAGCAGGCTTGCATCTCCACAAACCTGACTCGTACTTGACCTGGCTTAATCCCACGGAAAAATTGTTCTTTTAGCAATAATCGTCCACAGAATGGCATAAAACGTATCTATCTCCATGGAGTTTTTCTTGTATGCACGTTGTACACATTTTGACATTATATACTTATTGTTTTTAAATATTTTAAATTGTGTTCTTACAAATCCAGGTGGTAAAGGGGCCTGGAGTAATGTTGGCTGTCACGTTGTCAGTGCTACAGCTGAAGATACAAGATGCAGCTGTAACCACCTCACATCCTTCGCCGTGCTTTTGGTACGAAGAAAATCATATTAATTTTAAACATTCTCAAATTCATAGCTAACTGTTCACATGTTAAACACCTGAATGTCCTTTACTTTCCAGGATTTGTCCAGACAAGGGATATTAGACCGTGAACAGGCTCAGCTCCTCACTTTTATCACATACATCGGCTGTGGAGTCTCTGCTGTGTTTCTGTCTGTCACCATTCTCACATATCTCTTATTCGAGTAAGGATCTTTGTGGTCATTTCTGGTATATTTAAAAGGCTCATATTACACTATTTTCTGATCTATGTTATGTTCTGATCTATGTTATGACATGGTTTAAAGCTCACAGGAGTTAATTTTAGACAATCTAGAAGCTTTAATGCCAAATTTGTCTTTCAGCAAACTATTGCGGGACATTCCAGCCAAGATCCTCGTCCAGCTCTGCATATCTCTGCTTCTTCTAAACCTGGTGTTTTTGATTGACGGCTGGTTGGCCCTCTTCAAAGCGAATGGACTGTGTACTAGCACTGCCTTCTTCCTGCACTACTTCCTTTTGACATCGTTCACGTGGGCGGGACTTGAGGCTCTGCACATGTACCTCAGTATCGTCCGTGTGTTCACCCCGTACCTCAGCAGATACATGACCAAGTTCTCCCTTATGGGCTGGGGTGAGTGTGGAGAGAAAACTTTGCTTATTGTAAATAGTTATTTACAATAAAAACCAAGGCCAGATGAGCACTATTGAAACACAAATATCCTTAATGATGTATAAGAAATGAATTAATTGATTATTGTGGAAACAATGTATTTGTATGAGATATTATCACATTGCTCCTCATCTTCCATATCCTTGAGGACATACTCTTTCTAGATATACAAAACCATAAGATGAGGTGGTGTGACTTGTGTATGAAGTCCTTCTCTTGGGTTAAACAGCCTAAAAGTTAGTGCAAGGAGCGCACACATTTTGATATTGACACTAAAGTATCAGATTGCATCTTCATTGGACACATCTGGTTTAGGTCAACCCTTAAAGCCCCTTCATTCAAATGTCATTTGCAGGTATCCCTCTGATTGTGGTGATCATTATAATCGCTGTGAACAAAGATAACTATGGGCTGGTCAAATACGGAAGATACTCAGACGGCACTTCAGATGATTTGTAAGTTCAGTAAACAGTTTCCATTGTATTTGCATTAGAGCATGAAGGCTATTACTGTGCCAACAATTTAATTTTCTTCCCACGTGATAAGACATAAGAATTTACAAGGGCACAACTACTTAGAAAACTCTGGTCAAACCAGATTAGAACATTTAAACAAATGAAAATGAAATATACAATGAAAATGCCACTTGCCATTTCATTTGTGTTTCTTCAATTTGCTGCAACAAACACAAAAAGCATTTCATTTCAGCAATGTCTCTACACAGTTTACACACCCATAGGGAATAATACAGGAAAAAGCTACTAATTGACTTTCATAGACATATGGCACAATCAAAACATGATATAAACTGTACGGATTTATGTAAATTAAATAAACAAACAATTAAGCTCAAACAAATACTAAGCAGTGCGCTGGTTAGCTCACTGTGTCTCAACCCTATATCAGCTATTTCAAACATAAAATATAAAACAACCCATTAAAATGTATGTAAAGACTGTATGATTTTTTTCTGTGTGGATCACTTCAGCTTGTGGCATTATTTTAATATTTATTATGCCAAAATTAGCATTAGCATTGAGACAAAAAAAAAAGACTGATCTTTCCAAACTCAGAAGTGTCCTTCAGTGAAGTTTTCATCTCATTTGTCTTAAAGTTTGTTAAAGTCTGTGACAGGTTGTCGCTGATATCCACAACTCCCTCTCACTACCTGATCTTTAAAGAGCTCATATTACACTATTCTTAGATCTAAGTTATAATGTTGTTTCCTCATTACAAACATACCTGGAGTTTTGTTTTGTTTCACTCACACATATTTAACACACAAACCTGGATATTGAGGCTGTACTCAAACTGAAAACACTGTTCCACCTTGTGATGTCATCTGATGCTCCACTGTGTTTTTAAACTCCACACACCTTCACTAGAATCATTTGGATGATTTCAGCCCTGGACTTGTCAATCTCTACTGACCTAAAGGTTAAAGGAGCTGTTAACATGAAAACCACTGCTTTATGGAGCTTTGGAGTTGTAGACAGACTAACAAACCAGGATTACTCAAACATGAGTTAATGAAAAAAACACAGCTCCAGGTCTGTTTTTGAGGAGGTAACAACATTATAGCATGGTTTGAAGCTCACAAGAATCCATTTTATGCAATATAGGACCTTTAGGAACAGTGGGCTAGCCATTCGTGCACAGAGCCAATTATCAATCTATATTTTAACCATGAATGCGAGTGACTGGCCATTAATAATATGTTTTTTTCTTTTTGTAGCTGTTGGCTGGCTAACGACTTGGCCTTCTACATTGGAGTCGTGGCGTACTTCCTCCTGATTTTCGTCTTTTGTCTGGTTGTGTTTGTGGTCGTGATGGTCCAACTTGCCCGAATAAAGAGACAGAACCCCCAGAATCAGTCTCCAAACCGGAGCACCCTCTCTGACCTGCGCAGCGTCTTTGGACTGGTCATCCTCCTCGGTCTCACCTGGGGGTTCGCTCTGTTCGCCTGGGGACCCCTCTACCTGCCTTTTGTCTATCTGTTCTGTATATTCAACACTCTACAAGGTCAGTGGGTTTGATTTAACACTTAAAAAGAGATATGAAAAATTAAATAAGTCTTTTGAGCTTTTATTGATGTAGAAATGTCTGTATCTGTTGCATATATTAGATAGATTTATCCATGGATTTCATAATGATAAGAACAATAGTCATTCATAACAGAGGTGGAGACTTGCAAGTCGTGACTTGGACTTGAGTCAGATTTGAGTCACTTTTTTTTAGGACTTGAGACTTAACTTGATAAAATGGACCAAGACTTTGGACTTGACTTGGACTTAAGCAATGTAACTTGAGAAGACTTGATTATTTTTTACTTGATATACGTTTTTAGAAAATGCTTTTTTTTACAGTTGATAAATGCAGTGCTGAATTTTACAGGAATGAACTGGAACATGTCTCTCCCACTTCTCCGTTTGGTACTTTGGATGTACTGTGAGATGGTACCTCAAATGTACTACAGTAATTTACAGTAAAATACAGTAAAACAGAGGGAACTACATAAAATATGATTCTTCCATTTCAGTGCAGACTACATGTCAAAATAGCTGATATTAAGCACTTTTAAATCTGAATTCTTTCTGTTCTAACCATAATAATTTGTACTCTTGTCAAGACATGTAAACATGAAAAATTTGCACTTCTACAACTATATAGTATATATAAATATACCATGACTTTTTCAGTACAATTTAGTGTAAAATTCATATAAATTGCACAAAATCTAAGCTATATTTGGTACTTTTTTTGGTTTAAAGACTTAAAATGACTTGAATCCCAAAGCAGACGACTTGGACTTGACTTGGACTCTTGGGCCAGTGACTCGAGACTCGACTTGGACTTGCCTGTATTTGACTTGGGACTTGACTCAGACTTGAGGTCAAAGACTTGAGACTTACTTGAGACTTGCAAAACAGCGACTTGGTCCCACCTCTGATACATAATGTAAAGGCCCTATTTTATGCTTTTATTATAACGTGTTTTTTTTATCATTTGTGCAGGATTCTTTATCTTTGTGTTCCACTGCGCTGTAAAAGAGAACGTGCAGAGACAGTGGCGGACCTACCTGTGCTGTGGTCGACTCAGACTGCCTGAAAACTCAGGTATGTCATTAAAAGTAATGTTTAATACACTTTTTCAAGGTGCACTGGGGAACTTTTTGAGTGAAGTATCGGCCACCGGCTTTGCCTGAAATGTTCTACAATATCTTTTTCCTCTGGTGACCTACCTTTACAAAATGAAAATGCCAGAGACCTACTCATTTTAGCGGTCATAAGAAATTAAGCATACGCAGCATTAGATGACAATGACAACATCTTCGAATATGTATTCATTTGAGCACAACTCGACAAAAACACCATAAACGCAACTGGAAAGCAAGTAGTGAGTCTAACAGTGTGGTCGCTAGGTGCTATTGTGCACAGAGCCTATTGTCCAGCGCAAATAACCAAACTTTATTTTTCATTCTCTCTTGTGACACTAGACTGGAGCAGAACAGCGACCCACAACAACAGAACCACGTCGTACCCCATCATGTCCACCACCACATCTCAGACTCTTCCCAGCCACGCCCTCAGTAACACCTCCCTCGCGAGCGACAACGTCTTCAGCGACTCCAGCAGCAGCGGTAAAAAATAGTCTAGAATGTCATAATCCTAGACAGCGAGCAGGTTTTTCCTTTTGATTACACTGGACTTTGCCATGAAATATCCAAAAGGCAAATTCACAAATATTGAATCTGGTCATTTCTATTACTAAAGGGCCTATATTGCACTATTTTTGATCTAGGCAGAAAACACTCTTCTTGTGATGTCATGTGATAATATGGGTGCTCCACTGTGTTTTTAAACTCCACTCACCTTCACTAGAATTATTTTTGGTCATTTCAGTAATGAAATGATCAATTTCCACTGAACAAAAGGTAAAAGGGAGCTATTAACTACCACTGCATAACATCACAAAGTGGAACAGGGCATTTTAAGCTTTGGAGATGTAGACAGACTAATAATAAAAGATTACTCAAACATGTGTGAATCAAACAAAACACAACTCTAGGTGTGGTTTTGAGGAGGTAACAACATAACATTGGTAAAAGCTCACAAAAGTCAGTTTTGCTTAATATTGGACATTTAGTAGTAGTAAGTATTCGGTCATTTTGCAGCACAACAAAACAAAACAAAACAAAACATAGACTACAACCCCATGGATCATGACCAAAAGGGTTTAGGCTGAAGTAAAAATTACTTATAATGTCTAACCCTATAAAACAATGATAGAATTCCAAGAGAGACAGGCATCGTATGAACAGCAAATTTGCATTTACAATTTCACTTATATGTATATCACAGTATCCATAATATATAGTGTAAGAGACAAAATATAAATTAAAACAAACAAAACGGAGTGCATAATTCATTCATTTCAGAGCTCTATGCCAGCCATGTCAGACTCAGGCCTGGAGGCCAAATTTGGCCCGCAATACAATTATATTTGGCCCCCGAACTCATATCAAATATGTATTAGAGCTGACACGCCAGTATGGTTCATGCACCACTAATCTTACTACTACTGCTTGTATCTTAGAAGAGATGCCAAGTATTTGTTTCTGCTTTGGACCCATGTGTATCAGAGTAAATCATAGTCTAGAAAACTGAGCTTGGATGAATGTTTTCTTTATGATTTTTGACTGTTCATAGTTGAAAGATTTGATTTTCATTGAAGCAAGTTGTTATTTAAACAAAACAAAACAAAGCATTTAAACATTTAAAAGGAGTTCAAAGCTACAGGCTATAGAGACATTATTTATTTAAAATGTTGTTATTATTTTATGTTATGCTTTTCTGCATTCAATTTTTAAGCAAAACTATTAGACAAAGTAAAGGTTTCAAAAGAAACAGAAAACGCACACCAAAATTCTTGTAGAGGTGCAAATGCAAGGACGTTGGCCGATGTCCAAAAGCTTTTTTAATAATAATAAGAAGAAAAGGTTTAACATTACATATCTCGAAAGAAAAGAAAACATGCAGATGTTGGTATTTAGTTTGGCCCACGAGTTAGTCCCAGTTTTTAATTTTGTCCCTCTGTGAATTTGAGTTTGATACCCCTGCTCTATGCTTTTCGAAACATAATGCTTTATATTATATTTATAAGACATCTGCAGTGTTAGACATTTAATTACAAGTATAAAACAATAACATAATTCTTATCTCTATCTTCCAGGCTCAGTGTATGCAGACAGTGGCATTTCCGATGGCTCAAACAGTGATGTGGTTTTGAATGAGCTCCACAGACGAAACCTGAGTCCACAAGGGCCCCTCTGACACCAGCTACTCACCACAACAACTGTAATGTACATAGTTACACATGGACTATAGAGGAAAACAGACGCTCATTCAAACCTGACAGTATTTAAAACTTAGCAAGGGTGGGGCCTTTTAGTTAGACTTTTGGAAGGTCAGAAAAGTTTCAATAAAAAGTTCATGTGAAACTCTAATAGATATAGTTAGAATAAAACATGACATTTTTAATCTTTTGAATAAAGCTGCACTGTGTGACTTTTTGTGAAGGGCCTGCCACCTGCTTGTCTGGAATGCTGCACAATAGAGCAATGAACTTCTCCGCCTCACGTGTATGTAATTACAGGTGATTTAATTGCTAAATATCTTGAAAAACAAGATCGGTTTGACTTGTGACTTGGCCTTGTGCTGCCGTGTGCTTGTCGTCACGGAGACAGAGAAGTCCATACTGTGGAACATTCCAGGACTAAAATAGGACATCTCCATGGAGACAAAAAAAACTCCCTCCACCCTCCACGAGAAAAGAAGTTACATAGTGCTCCTTTATGTAAAATTACTTGACTTTTTTGGAAACCATGAGAAAGACTGAAATTAATTACACGTGTATATTTGAAATCCTGTATAGTATTTTTGTTTGTATACTTGTAAAAAGACTAATAATTTATGACTCATGCACATTTTGCATCAAGAGTAGAATAGTTTTAAATGCACTGTTAATATATTGTTTTAATAATGTTATGGTTTTAGTGATTAGCAGATTTTGCACTGTGTCAAGGTTTGAACTGTTTTTAATCACATATCAGTTGAACTAATCCACAATAATGAAGTCAGTGTTCAATTATGTGTCATCCGAGGGATACAGCAATTTCTAGGAGCAACTAAAATGTTTTCTTTGTGTCAGATTTTTTGGGGGAAATAAGATGTTTTTATTTTTAATTATTATATTGTATTACATTTCAGTGTTCCGATATGTTCTGCATAGCCTACGATCAGACGAGCAGATTATCGTGGTATCAGGCGAATTGTAATTCTTAAGTACAATGAAGGAGTAACATTGGAATATCATTATCTTTATATTTATGTTTATTTTATTTGGGTTTGTCTAAAATTGTATGTAAGTATTTTCAGTGCAAATTGTTGTGACGTCCTAGAACTCTTGATTTAATGAAGGAAATGTGTTCTTAAATGATCCATTGTTTAGACAAAGGAGTCAATAAAACTTCAGCTAAATGCCATTTTGTTTTGGTCCTTTTTGATTCAGATGGTAGACATGGATAGATTTATGTATTTGGTTTATTTAGCAGGGACAGTGTAGCCTGATTCATCAGCCGGTTTCACTTCGTAGAAACCGTCTGACCTCACAGTGTTAGAATTCTTTCGCTTGACGTTAGACAGGTACTTTTTTTATTTAACCAATCGCTGCTATTTGGTTGTGACGTATGTAATGCGCCGGTATATTAAGCTTTTCCCAAATCTTGTAGGAAGAAGGGCAATAACGTCTTTCCCCTTGATAAAATTCACTAAACATTCTCTTTGTTCCAGCTTTAAGTCCTTGATCTCAGGAATCGTTGCCAACACAGAATGTATGGCTCTTCGCTGATTGGCTGGTGCCAAACTCGCACTTCCAGGGTTTTTGCGAACCGTCAGGTGTATTCTGATTCCTGATCTAGTCGCTGGAGAGAAATTAAATTGAGCAGAGGCACTAGGTGGCACCAGTCTGACTAGGGACAGTGTACATTAATCAACATTTCTGTAAATGTACCAGAATTTGCCAGAGAGGATTTTTCATCTGTAGTCCCTGGACAGATGGTAAACATGGTCACCCTAAAAAGCACAACAACAAGAACTATACCAAAAAAGTGCAATTGTGCATAACAGTTAAATTAAAAGGTAGTGAGAATACAAACAGACACTAACGACTATAACTACAAAGTACACAATGAGAAATAACACACACACTAGAGCGCACAGACAGGAGACACACACTCGGGCAGGTAGAGCAGCACACTAAGGATCACAGGTTTGATGAGTTATTAGCCAGTTCTCAACATGTTTTTTGAATAGATTGTATAAAGTTAGGTCTCTTATGCTGCCAGGGTCTGAGTTCCACTCCTGAGAAGCTGTGATGGAAAAGGCTGAACGCACTTTTTCTCAGGGGAACGACGCAGTCTCCACGGGCCGCCCCTCGAGTGAGTCTCTGTGTGGTGGTTCTGATCCTGATAAACTGAGAGTGGAGGAGATGACTGGCCATGGATGATATTGTAAATGAGACAGAGGTTTGAATACTTGATGAGGTTTTCTCAGCTTAACAGTGAGGAATGACCCACAACCCAAATCTGTAGTTAGTTACATTTTGTAGTTGTTTACCTTTCATAATTAATGGCTTATTTATCCCACAATACACACCAAAATGTGTAACTGTAATTGTGTTTCTTTTTTTTTTATCTAAATCTTCCAGCAGAGGGGGGTATTGCACTACTAACATTTGAGGCCAGACAATAATTTATATCAAAAGCTTTATTTGAACTCTCGAGATATTAAGTGATAAATTATAAATGGTTAAATTTTACATGCAAATTAGAACAGTTAATGTTCGCTACAAGATTACAAGGGAATTGGTGTTAGTTTAGTCACAAAATGAAATAATCAAAATGAAGAGGTTTTAAACAGGCATCACTGGGATCAAAGTAGGTTTGACACCCCTGTTCTAGATCATTTATCACAGAGGGTCAGTCTTAAAATACAAAGTACACAGTGTGTGGGAAGATGTATGTTCAATATCAAACCTCTGTCTTTGAAATTACACTTTCCACAGTCCTTCAAAGACGCCCTAAAATTTGAAGAGGAGAATTTTCAAGTAAATTAAAGCCCCAAAGGAAGTCTGTGATAAACCAAAAGCACATGTGTAAAAGTAATTTACAAGTATATTTGCCAAATTTTAACCCTTGAAAATTTGAAGGACTGACCTTAAATCGCTTAAATCTGAAAGTGGAAAACTCTGCTCAAAACAGGTCAGGGGAGAGTTGATAAAATATTTTTTAATGACAAAACTGTAAGGAGATGGGGGCTAAAATTTGAGACTTTTTCTATTGGAAAGTGTGTGAACCTCCTAGAATTTTTTCAGTCAAATCTGAGATGGTCGAGCGGAGGCATTCGGAGATTTTGCGTGGTATGACCCTGTAGCAATATATGCGTCAAAATGTGTTATTGTGACAGGCCTAGGTTTTACTTTCTGTTTCCATGGAGTCGTGCAAGTGACGTGCCACCTCCAGAAAGTTCCACACTGTGTCTTTAAACTTTAACCTTCAACCAACCCTAGCAACTCTCCTGGGCAGCCCCTTTCAAACTCCTGGTGATCTGTCTTTCATACATTTATTACACACTGGTATTGACTTTGAGAATACATGTTTCTACTGTTCTGACCTGCTGGCTTCGTCTTTTCTTTATGTTAATTGATCGTAGGTGAGCTGTTTTTCACCGCTTTGAATTCTTCCTATTTGAATCCCGTAAATGCTGAATCGGGGTCAAATGAAGGTGGCGGCGGCTGTTCGACTCTGGAGGTGGAGAGCTGTTTAATTCTCGCCACAGCACGGCCTTTCAGTTTAAAGCACCAGTGCGTTTTCAGACTGGATGAGTTTTGGCCCCGTGTCTCCTCATGGTTTATTCACCGCACACTTTTACAGCCCATAGACAAGCTGCTCACTCTAACTGCTCAGGGTTATTGATCAGAGCTCCACAGCTGCTCTGCCTGTACGCCTCCATTCAGGGGGCTAAACAGCTTATTTTTTCTTTCTCAATCTGCAATCTAGCCGTCACATCTGTTAGAGTCGGTTATGTCAATGTTGAAAGTCTCGTTTAGTTAAAGGTGCACGACGTAACTTTTCTGGTGGGTGGAGGAGCCGTGGAGATGTTATTGCTCGGCTTGGAATGTCGCACAGTATGGCATTAAACTTGTATCTCTCACTGGAGACAGGCAATAGCGACACTTCTAAGCCACGCTACAAGGTCAGATCTGCGGAAAGGCGACCCAGCAGAGTGTGACAATCATAGACTCTAAAAACGGAAGTGAGCATTAGGGATGGGCATGATTAGTCGATTAATTGATAATTGATCATTAAGAATTTCATGGATTACGTTCATTTTAATCGAATGTAGGTTGCTGTGAGTAGTGTGACCAAACAGGGTCCGTACATGTGTCTCTCTGCACTCAGAAGGAGCGAGACACAAACAGTCGGTCAGTCTGCAACGTGCCGAAGTGCAAATGTGTATTTAACGATGACTTGTGCAAGAAATTCCCCACTTTCTGTTGCGTTCGGGACAAGTGTGAGTCCATGTGCACAGTGTACCAAGCAGCACATATGTTTCGGTGTCCAGTGGGAAAAAGTTTTGCCAGGTGAGAGTCGTGCAATGTCGATGACGAGTCCCCACCTCCCTCCCCCCGTACGGTGTCCTGGCTTTGACAAACGCAAATATGGTCACACTAACCTGTATTCCACTGAGTCGTGTCGCATCAGCGCACAAGAGCTGTTTTTTTTTTCTTCACTTAATTTATGCAAATTAGCCATGCGGTTTTAAGTTTAGTTTCTGTGAGACTTGTACAAAGCTGCATTAAACACATGATAATCTCAAACGGGCAAATGTGGCTCTAGAGTGGTTACAGTGGTTAAAGTTGAATTTATTTATGCAGATTAGTAGTGCAGATAGTAATAATAATGATGATAATTTTAATATAAAAACGTTAATGATTAATCAATAATCGATCGTTAATTCTCCCGACGATCGATTAAGAAAATTTAATCGACTGCCCATTAGAGATGCGCGGATTGCGGTTACAACCGCGGTATCCGCGGTTAATCCGCGGGTTGGGCGGATGACGTGACGAAAAATTATATTTTAATTAAATTTGGGCAGGTGGCGGTTTAACTACTAAAAAAAAAATAAAAAAATAAAAGTTATTGTTAGCATTGTTACCTACATCTGAAAAGACGAGTCTCATTGTCTATGCTTGTAGTATGAAGTGTACGTCATATCCTTAATTAGCCCATTTGAGCTCGTTTTTATGTTCTGAAGGTTCAGGTTGTGTCAGGTTATTGATGCCTAAGGTTTACGAGGCACATATTATATGCAGTTTATTTTATTATTTCTAATTTATTTCAGCTGTTTGCCAACACATAAGTGGCTATAGGGCCACATTTATTTAGTTATGAATATTTTTTCTTGTCTATTTCAATTGGAATATAAAGAGGGCATTGCCTGATTTCAATAAAGGTTCATCTGGATGAGATGATCTGTCTAGTTTGTTTCGATATCAGATATATTTTAAAACACGCAGACATTATAGCGTAGACTGCCACTCGGGGTTTTTAAAACTTAAAGAAAGACCGATGGACTGAGGCTATGACTTTGAAATAACATCGGGCAATGGCAGAATGTTCAGAATGTAACAACATCCAACACGAAGGCAAGAAGGTTCAAAAATAGCCTAGTCGGAAAACGTTGTCAATTAATTAGCTGCTCAAGAAAACCAGGTAAGTTTGGGGTTGTTGCGGACAATTAAAAATGTGAACATACACGCTGAGCGAATTTTGGAATGAATGAGCTATAGAGTTTGCATTTTTATCTGCTGTATGATTGTTCTAAAATCTAAAATCAATCGGCGGATGGCGGGCGGGTGCGGTTTTGAAAACCTTCGGTGCAAAATGGACAGCGGGCGGATGATGAGTTTTGTGTCGCGGTTGCGGATGAAAAAATAGCCCATCCGCGCATCTCTACTGCCCATCCCTAGTGTGCATGGGTAGGCCTGTAACGATAATTAATAAATCAATTAATCGTACGGTAACTTTTAACAAACTTGATAACTTTTCCAGCTGCGATAAATTCTATTTGCATGCTTGTTTGTTTTCCTCGTCTCTCTCTCTCTCTTTCTACCAAAGAGACTAAATGTCAAGGCTTCTATCGCTCTCTGACTCCTCTCCTCTCTTCTGGGTCAATTAATTGTCCAGCAAAATCTGTTATCGTTACAGGCCTAAGCATGGGCACACTTCCGGTTCCATCAACTCCAATTCACTTTGTATTGAAAAAGCATTGTCCTTTTCTCTGTAACTGCTGCAGACAGGTTCTTCATTTTGGTCTTAAAATGTTCATATTAACTCGCTTTACATGATCCTGGTGGTTTTATTTAAACCTGACAGTATTTAACATGAAGAAAACTTAGCAAGGGGATGGGGAG